GTGGCGTTTTTTATGTTAGCGAATCCGATCCTTACCCCTTACGCAGTAAGGTCGTAATTCCTTAGTCATGCATGCTATATATTTAACGTAACGTAAGTTATTCAAGCTGTATAACAAAGGCTCAATCAAATAATCACGTTAACTATTTCATTGTAGTGATTAGTTAGCGGTTAGAGTTTTGTCGTGTTAAGGAATATTAATGTACTCAGTGTATCAGTTGTGGTTCGTGACATTTCCAATATCTGTGTAAGTTAGGTGTAGGGATGGTCCGTTTTAAAAGTATCGATATCGATTTAGACAACCGGGCGCCAGAGGTCGGCGAATTACATTTCTAGTATCCCCCTCCTGAAATTCACGGGGGCAATAAAATGGGCGCCAGAGCGCTGGTAGCACTAAAACCGGAAAATTTTGGACATAAGTTTGTTATAGTTTTTCTACATTTATCAAAATTTATAGTTACAATTCGTAAGATATGTACAATAAACATTTTTACCTATAAAGATTTTAATTTCAAAGGCTATAAATCAATGTTTGACCCAATTCACCTATTATCCACGCGATAAAAATATTTTTTTTTATAAATTGTAAAATATTTCAGCAAGTTTTTTTGTCTGCGTAAATATCAATATTCATTTATTATCGATATTGAATATGTGGATTGTGGATCATCCCTAGTTAGGTTATGTATTGTTAACAAAGCCGAATTTTGCGGAGTACTGTGGGCACATATCAATAGGTTCGTACTCGTACCGCGATAGTGCGTTTTCTTTTGCGTTTATCTGTGATTCTCATTGTTAGTTTGCCCGCTAGACAGATTTTGCGATTTATTCTTATTTATTACTCAAATTATATAAAGAGCAATATTTATTTACTTATATTTATTTGCTTCAAATTAGTTTTTGGAAAGTATTAGGCAGCTAAATTCTTAACACAACCCGTTTGTAATTAATAAATGATAAAAATTGTATTTATGTTTGAAATCAAAACAATTTTAGACAATATACAAAACTATAATTATCAAAGCATGCGATTTTGAACGTTTTAAATATTTTCTTTGACATATCGAATTAAAAATCATGCAGTATCGAGAGAGTCTTTACAAAATTCAAAATGGCGGCCATACAATTGTAACTCTAAGAAGTAAAACACGAAATGTATGGATGTTTTAATGAAAAACTTGGTGTTTCAAATGAAATCGAGAAATTAATTAAAATATACTGTTTTGAGAAAAATAACTCAATGTACGATACGAAATTTTAGTTTCATAATGTTTGTGTTTGTAGTATGTTCTACATGTGTTTAAAAAATCTCGACTCAGGTTTCATCGTTAGCAAGTTTTAAAATTAACTCCGAGCCAATTGAGCCTTTACGTTGCTAATAATTACGTAATCAATATCGTGCCAAAAAATAAAATAAAAATCCAGTCTTCTGCAACTATCATTAACAATTGGTTTCAAATTAATTTTATTTTCAAATGAGTATAAAAGTTTTAAGAACTGTCCCACCACTGGGTGATGGCTCAGAAAGTATAAAATGACGTCACCGTCAGATAAGAGAACAAACCCGATATTTCCATAACATATTTTACATTTTGGATTGTTATCAGAGAATTTACAATTTAGTGGTACAGGCCCTTAATGAAATTTCACACAAAATGATTTTTTATTGCTATTTGGTGCACATCTGGTGCTTACACAGTGGCAGAGTTTTAAAGTTATTGAAATAAATGGTGCTGAATGCACATATATTTGAGGTCTAGTCTTACATTGCGTTGTCTCGAGAAAATTAGATTTTATGTCAAATAGACGCAATAATAGTTAAAAAGTGTATAACATGATTTAATTTACATAATATCTGAAAGGGAATGTTTAAAATTATAGTAAAGATTGGCACAAATGTGTTTTTATTTACGTTACTTTGAAGAAAATTGAATGGATTTGTGTTGTGCGTGCATATTTAGCGTTATTTATTAAGATCATTATATAAAATCGCAATATTTTAGATGCCTTCGTTTAGTTTTTTTTAAACATTGGAAGGCAAAATTAGTTGTATAAGTATTCCGTTGAGTGAAAGCTTTTTTAGTGCCATTAAAGATTTTGGCAAATATAAAAAGGAGCTCAAGTTTCCAATAGTTATTGTAGAGGCCTAGCCGAAGGTGTAATTTGTATATTCATATTGTAGTTTTTAAACTGGAATTTAGAAAAATATTTTGTGTTTATAATTTGATCTCAATAATGCTGACTGATTTGGCAATGTATCTTTTTTAATTTAATAGCTTATAATGGGTTAATATTTTATGCTATGGCAATTTTTTATTGATATTCAATGCAATAAAATTAAACTAAGCTATTATTTGTAATATTGGTTAAATGATTTTTATTTAGTGTAAATTATTAAGTCAAATAAATTAGTACAAAAACATTAATTCTTTACTTATTTTTTTAAATAGTGCAATAAATGGAATATAGCTATCATTCAGAATTGTGTTGCTTCTGGACATACATGTACTGACATTACAATTAAATTGTTGAGATTTATTATTTTTATCATAAGTTGCAAGTATGATTTTGTATTTATTGTACAAATAAAAATTTTGCATTAAAACAAGATTTTTTTAATACACAACATTCCAATAAATAGACAATAAATCAATTAACAATCCTAATTAAATAAAACACATATAAAAGAGAATACAATAACATTAACAAGTTATCCTAACAACACTTATACTTAAGTATACTTGAATAATAAAAATTGATCCCGCAGCCCATTTTCTCCTCCTAATCCTCCTTCCGGTTGGACGTATAACAAGCCATCTTTAGCTTTCTTTGGGCAGAATTCCAATAGATTCATATTACTTTTATGTAACTCATCTAATGTCCAAGCTGCGACAAGCTTAGATTTTCCATGTCTGCATAGCACATAGACATTGCTAGAGTCAGTGTTTGCCTCTCCAGGGTCCTCTATAATTATAATGCCACAAACTAGAGCCCAGTGCGCTGTGTGACCTTGTTTGAGACAAGGTGAATGATTGTGATCAGCATCATAACTGTTTGAAACATTAAGGAATATTATCAGTAAAAATCTAACACTACCGTTGTGTTTTAGGTAATAGCTTATATATCTAACTTATATTAAAAATACGAAAGTTTAGATGGATGGATGTTTGTAAGAGTTTGTAGCTTAAACGGCCGAATGGATTTTGGTGAAATTTGGTACAGATGTAGAGGATAGTCTGGAAGAACACATAGGCTATTCACTTTTTTTTAATGCCATGTGGACGGAGTTGTGAAAGAAAGCTAGTATTTTATATAGGGAAAGGTTACCAAGAAGAGAGTGACAATTGAGATAGATTAACCTGGATTTTTCTGCTGCTATTTATGATTTTACCAATACATCTCCTTCAGGACATGTTCTTCTGTTGTTTTTAAAAAAAAGATCTTTAAATTGCAATGAATTGTAAAATAACTTTTCACACATCTCAATTGTAGTAATATATCTGGCTCAAAGAACCGAAATGTATAGTAAAAGCTTTAAAATAAAAATTAAGTTTTATAGAGACATATTGGTAAAATATCTACAATGTACAATGATATGTATTAACCTATTTGGGAGTAGGATAAGAAAGGAAAGATGACATTGAGTCAACATTGAATCATTTAAAAAGGATACGGAACTAATAAAATAGCACCATTCAACAAATCTTCAATTATTTCTGGACTATAAAGCCCACCTTTTTTTAATGTACAAGTAATATTTTCCATTTCAGCTAAATTTAATACTTTCTCGGCTAATTTAGCCATATCTTTGCAGCTCAACATTTCACCATTATTGCTGTACCCTAAGAACTTAGAGAGATTCAGCAGCTCTTCGGGAGCCACTTCTCCCCCTATCAACATCGACAGAGCTACCAAACCACACGTCGGCCCTTCTTGCAGTATATATTGAAAATGTTTATATTTATAACGGAAGGGTGCACGCGTGAGGCATATTTGATATGTTATGCACGCTTTCTTTAAATCTACTTCTGAAGAAGCCCATTCACAAATACTGGGATCCTCGGAGACTTCGTTAGGTTTATTGGATTTAAATTTGCTTTCGCATGTTACGGGTGGCAAGGGCGGCGGGGGCGGCGGTGCTGATGATGGTGTTGTGCACATTATGATTATGATTTTATGATCGTTAATGAATAAAATTTACATTATTTTGTAACCTAATTTCTATTAATGTCGCAAAATGACATTGACGTTGACGTAACAGAGGTGAAGGAACTTTTGGCGGTTTATCAACTTTAACCGTTAAATATTATCGATTGGATTTCTTTTATCTTATAATTTTTACGAAATTACAAGATCTCCGATGTGATATTTGGATGTTTGACAATTTATTGAATCGAATTTAACGGTTTTGAGTAATAAAACGGTATATAAGCATATACATCACTATGAATTATTTCATTTTTCGCGCCTGCGAACTAAAAAACTCAGAGCAGTGGTTGAAAAGGAATGGGGCGTGAATCGTCATTCATCGACTTTTTTTGCTCGTTCGTCGTTCGTTCTCCTGTCAATTCAATTAACAGATGGTAGTGGTGCAAGACGGGTTTTTCTTACGGTAAATTGTGCCGTCATAATTACATTTTGAGGAAAGTGAAAGTTAAAAATAAGGTGGCTTAACCAATTGTAGTAAATCATGTCCGAATCCCGGAAAAATCATCTTATTATAGAAGGGAATCCAGGACGAGAAGCTGACCATGGCGCCTCTTACAAGCCCATCCCGGAGGCTGATGCAGGTAATTATTAGGTTTTATTGAAGTTTAATTGTGCTTGTATTGTGGACAAAGTTCAAAGTTGTATTAATATAATCGACCATAATTTCTCTAAGATGGACATAGAATCTTTGAATGACCTTGTACTTTTTTTAGATTTGTTCTTGACTATTATTTGTCAAGAGCTTTGTAAAAACTCGTGAGCTTGTCTTCTCAGGAATTGTATATTTAAGAATTAAAATGTTATCGTTATCACGTTATCATGTGGACGTTGACATTTAGATGTCTGGGAAAGATGCCAAATGTCAAATGTAAAACGACCATTTTAAGTGGTAGGTATAGATAGCGTTGAAAAATATTTCCTTTACGTGAAATTGTGTTTCATCGATTTGTAACAATGTAATAAAAAGGAAATTGATTCAGGATATCGTTGAATTAAAATACGTTTAAAACAATGTTACTATTAAGAAAAATTAGCCAATTCTACGCTTGTCGGAGCGACTTCTTCAAATGGGCGGGTAATAAAGCGCTTTCATTGGACGAGCGTAGCTTGAGGCAGCGCCATTTTGTGCTAGTTCGCTGACTGATGCAATTTGCAAATGCTTTTACGCTATTTTTTTTGTTTCACATTAAATTTGTGATAATTGGGATAATTGATTTTTTTACTGTATTTGTTACTTCAACAATATGATGAATGGTATGATAATATTTTTATAATCACATGATGTTTATTAAAAATTTACAATATTCTACTGCTAAAAGATTTCTTTGGATAACTTCTTAAAGGAAATGTTACATTTGAATGTATTAGAATGCACAGGATTTAAATTGACTCAATTGAACTATGAATGGGATGACCAGGGTCACTAAAAACTTATTAGAGAATGGTGACTACTGATTTTATTTCCAGCAACTGATGTTGAATATGTTGAGGCTGAGAGGGAATACATGCAGTTGAACAAAAGTGATATAATGGAGGGTGAGATAGTCGACGATGCAGATGATCACTGGGATCATAACAGCATTAGAATAATGCTAAACTTGTATATAGAGAATCTTGATAAATTTAGAAATCCAAAAATAAGAAAGAAGAATTTATGGTCGGATGTTGCAAATGCTGTGGGCAAAAGTCCCGATTGTTGTAACAAGAAATTTCGAAATTTAAAGCAAACATATATAAGATTATTAAAAAAGAAAAACAGGATTGGTATGTCAACAGTAAAATGGCCGTACTTTGAGAGTTTTGAGGAGATATATTGTGTGGAGGGTGAATATCAGCCTGAGATTCAGCAGAAACTGCAGGAAGGTTCTAATGAGAGTATAGCTAAAGCGCTATTGTCGATAAGCTCTCCGACAAAGTTTGAAGATGGTAATGAAAATGGAGAAAGTTCTAGTGGTCAAAATGAAGAAGTAAGAAGAAGGTTGACAAGAAAACGGAATGCTGAATTTAGAAAAGTTACATTAGAAATTAAGGATAGGCAAAGATTGGTAGAAGAAAAACTAGATAGATTAATTAATATTGTGGAAGAGTCAAATAACATTCAAAGAGAAAGGAACAAACTGTTTGAGGAATTTCTTGAGAAACTCAGGAATTCTCAAGGAGGATGCTGATTTCGCCGAGAATATAAGTCAAAATAATAATTGCGAATGAATTTACATGTATATTTTTATATATTCAGTCATTCTAGTTTTTATTGGTGTAAATATCTAGGGGTTTAATAAATTTTTTACATGAACTAGTTGTTTAAACTTGTAAACTTTTAATCCTAAAACTGCATTTGAGTTTTAATTAAATTAAAGAGATAGAAATAGTTTTGCCGAGTTTGCTCAAACTATTGTCAATGACCTAGATATTTTTTATGCTTTGTTCACTTGTGATATAACTGTAAAAGTTATTTAAAACATTCAATACTTCAACAATAAACAACATAACTATTATGCCATTTTTTTACAAATGGTAAAAACTTTATAATTAAATTTCTTAGTTTAAAAAAATAGCATGTTTATTTACTTTATTTCGTGAGATTGGCGCTTATGATGAAAATATCTTATACTAGCTTTCGCCCGCGACTTCATTCGCGTGGAATTAAAATAACAAATGTGAATAGCCTTTGTTTTCTTCCACACTAATCTCTACATCCGTACACAATTTTCTCAAAATCCGTTCAGCCGTTAAGGCTATAAACCCTAAGAAACATCCATCCATACATCTAAACTTTCATATTTATAATATAAGTATGATTTCGCATTCATTATTATTCTAGTCAAAAGCATAAAATGCGCGTCATCATATTTATTTGTATAGAATTTAGGTCGTTTGACGTTATTTTATAATTATTTAGTTTTTAACTTCAATCAGCAAACACCAGAATCGCTATAAATTTTTTTACAATTTCAAAACAACATTAATAATGCGGTTACTAGTCGAAATTAAGTTTATTTTGTTATTTTAAATAACATGATTAACTTAGGTTATAATTAATCGTTGAAAAAACGACATTTCCCTTATTTTCATTCCAATCTAATATTTTAATGCGAAAGTTTAGATGGATGGATGGATGTTAGAGTTCGTAGCCTCAACGGCTGAACGGATCACAATGAAATTTGGCATAAACGTAGAGCAAGCATAGTCTGGAAGAACACATAGGCTACTTACTTTTGAACTTTTTTAAATTCCACGTGAACGGAGTCGCGGGCGAAAGCCAGCATATGTCCATAATAATGTATTTGTACAAGTTTTCGTCAGTGGAAATTTACGGTTAGTCATGGTCAAAGTAACAACCAAAAACCTCGGATATTCTATACACAACACAGATGTATGACTTGGACATTAACTGTGAAATTGGAGGGTATGTAGGGTTGGCACAAATAAAATTAAATTACTCTAGCGACCAAACGTTTTAACTCTAATGATTATATCTTGTTAAAGCTAAAGACTATGATGTCGTGATTTCTTTGCATGTTTCTATAATTGTGAGCCAAACAATAATGATTATTTAAAAACATTTACTGTAAAAATCAACTGCTGCCATGAACAACTAACTTGTCCTAGTTCCGACATTTTTATCTCTGTGCATATTGGAAAAGGGAATTAAAAAAAAATTCAATGTCTAATATTTTCAAGTTGAAATGGATGGAGAAAATAATTTTTAATCGGTTATAGAGTTAAGAATGCTTTATGTTAAAAAAGTTTATGCCTTAAAAACTTGATAGTAAAATAATTATTTACGATGCTTGATTTTGATAATTATATTAAAAAAAATTATCACTGAATACTAAAGCAGTTTGTCAGTTTAAACTATTAGTAGGTTTTAATAAATTAAGTTTGGTTAGTTGGCACAGCCCTAGTTACATATCAGTAATGGAGCACGGCCGAGCTCATACGACGCTCGAATTCCATTTGTGCCACATCTGTCCGATCCTACGTGGTCCTGTACGGTCCTATGCGGTCTGCGAACTCGGGCCGCCTGGGCTCTCTCGTGGTCCACGCTAGAAGGAACAACTATAACAAAAAACCGACAAGACCACGGCAAGGTGTAAAGGATAGCCCAGAGTTGACAGGTTTTCGCTTTTTATGTTTTAAATTTAGTTTTTTTTTCTGTTTTAATTGCTACATAGTGATGTACATTGTGCTCGAGTTAAGTATCAAGGCATATTAGTCGCTTGTTAGTCATAAAAAGGATATAACATTGTTTAAAATGGTAAAATGTTAAATATTTAACCGCAGTTAATAATAACCGCAAACAAAGGTTCATAAGAAACACGCTCTTATCATCTTGTAGTAGCTAAATTTTCCTGTTTCAAACATATGAATTCAACTATAAATATGTACAATTTATAACGTACTAGCTGTTGCCCGCGACTCCGTCCGCATGGAGTTAAAAAAAAGTGATACATCTGTACTAAATTTCATCGAAATCCGTTAAGCCGTTGAGGCTACATACTAACAAACATCCATCCATACTTTCGCATTTATAATATTAGTAATTAATTAGTTGGAACTATGTTTGTTTCTGGAATTTTTATTGACTCTTTCAATAGAGAATAAAACAATTAGGAAGCAGGTCTCTTGTTTGTCAAATCAAACTGTTAACTCGGTATACATGCGGTAGATGACATTGATTTGTAACTCGCGTAGTGGTGTCATGAGATAATTAGGACATATCGAGTACAGGAAACTTCGTATAATTTAAGAAACGAAACAAGAAGTTTAAAATACATATTTAACTTTCATCCTTATCAGTTGGTAATTAATTGTTTGATTACCAATACAAAGTCCAAATAGATAAATACATTAGTTACTTACTATCGATGACGACTTGCGTTGAATTAAAAAAAACAAAGGAAGTAGACTATCTTCCAGACTATCCTCTACATCTATGCCAAATTTCATCGAGATCCATTCAGAAGTTTAGGCTACAAACTAAGAAACATCCATCTATCTAAACTGTGTTATTTATAATACTAATATTATAAATGCCAAAGTTTAGATGGATGGATGGATGTTTGTTAGAGTATGTAGCCTAAACGGCTGAACGGATTTCGATGAAATTTGGTATAGATGTAGAGTATAGTCTGGAAGAACACATAGGCTACTCACTTTTGTTTTTTTTTAATCCCACACGGACGGAGTCGCAGGCGAAAGCTAGTTTATAATGTTAATAAGATTTGTAAAGTACATCAATATTCTTTGTTATCTTTTAGTTTATCGTTACCATTTAGACAGTAATTACAGTTTCTCGTTAAGTGTGCACGGCCTCGTAACGACCTAACGATGTTTTGTCTCGCAATTGACTTATTGCTTGAACTTAACTAGATAAGTGATTGAATAATCTGTTAAGTTCTATTTCACCGATATTTACTACTTTTACTTGAAATCTTTAAAATCCTGTTCTTTCTTATAAGGCACATAATATTTTTCTTATTGCAAACATTATTTTTGGTTTAACTTTAATGATGTCCGATGATTAATTATTTTTTATTTCGCATTGCTTAAACACAGTTCCAAAGATGAATTTGCCATTTTTTTGGTCGTAGCTTCAAAGAAGCATTTTCACGTACCCCGCGGCGACCGGCTTGTTTTGTGTGACCATGTAGTTTTTATTATATTTGGGACAATCATTTTGTGCGCTTTTGAGAATTTTGAAGGATTTAGTACTTGATTTTAGAAAGAAAGAAAATAATATAAACTTTGGTGTTTGTTCATAAATTACTATGTATGTGAGATCAAAGCTGTTCCCCAAAACTTAACATTCATAATTAAATGATAATAGAATTACTATATTGTTACTTCCAGCTATTATTCATATACAAATATGTAGTCAGGAAAGTCCTGCCTTTCGTGTGCCGTATGGTCGCACACGCATTCCTGACGCTTCCCGGAACAGCATTATTTATTGCGTTCGAGATGGCTTGCTCTTGTGCTGAAGTAAAGCTGCGGCCATCCGCGACTCTTACTAATAATGCCCCTGAATTGCATCAGCCTAATATGTAGAAAATATGTCTAGTAATCAGACCACACATAAGTATGTTTGATTCATTTGTTTGGATTTAGTCTAGAAAACTTAGTACTTAACTAAATCTTTTTCCCATCCATTCAAGAACACAATTCAGAAGTCAATAGCCACTGTGTCTACCTATATCTATACTAATATAAATATGAAAGATTTCTATTTTTGTATGTATTGAAATAACTCAAAAACTACTGAGTCGATTTCATAAATTCTTTTACCATTAAAGAGCTACGTTATCAGTGAGTAACATAGGCTATGTTATTTATTATTTTTTAATTTCACGTTTGCGAAGTCTCGAGCAACAGCTAGTGGTATATATTTCTTTACGTATTTTTGGTATTCCAACGATAGATAGAAATTAAATTCACAGAGAATGTGTGAATAGGTTTTGTATTACAACTTTCATATGTGAACGCATCTTTACACGTCTCTGGCCAGCCGCAGTCCATCGACTTTCCAGTACTTTATTGTCGAGTCTCGGGAACACACGTCCCCACATATACGAAACAGTTTAGTAGACAAACCCGTAAATCGCAACATTTTATGTAGGTATGTAATTTACATCAACTTGGAGCATGCTTTATAATAATTAAAATTAATTGATTAACGTATTATCAATATACACGGTTAAGTTATTTCCAAAATGTATTACAAGTTACATTGAATTAATAAGAATGTTTTGTTTTCGTGTAATTTATAAATGTGTTTTTTTAACAAATGATTAAACAATACGGTATAAGTAGATGTATCTTCAAAGTGGAACAAAATAAGTTCGGAAGTTTTGTTATGGGAAGAAAGTTGTGTAGCCGCATGGTCTTTTTCAAACCAACCTCTCAAAGGGCCTTACTTTACAACTTAGACTTTATGACGTGAAATTTGATGAATAACATAGTGATTTTAGTTTTCTTTAGACATTAACCATTATAACTTATGCTCCTACATTATTTTTAACTAGCTGTTTTGAAAATAATGACGACTTCGACCCAGTGAATTTAAAAAATAATAAAATATATAGCCTAGGTTTCTCAGAAATAACCTTTCTAATGGTCAAAGAATTTTGCAAATCGGCCCAGTAGTTTTTGAGTTATTTCAATACATATGAAAATATAAAAATACAAATCTTTCCTCTTTATAATATCGTATAGATTGAAGACATTTTTATTATGATACGATATTAATAATTTGTCGCTTCGATTCCCTAGTGGTTACTCTAACATTGCATGTCAAATCAGAGAAAATGCAATGTCTCATTAGACAAACATACATAACTTGTGAAAGTTCCCTATAGATTGATTTTCTCTCGTCTCACTTCAAAACAATCATTACAAGACTTATAGATGCGTGTACATGTCAGTTGTAAAATATTGATTCTGTAAAACCAAGTATTTACACAACACTTTATTTTTATCAATGGTTAAGGAGATCTGCCCGCGAATCTATCACGTTCTCATGGATCACAACATGTTGAGAATGTTTCGACAAAACGAATGCACCGTAACGCACGTGTTTCTAGAGTTTTCCGTATTTTTAAAGCTAATTGAACCATATGTACTCTTGTTAATAATATTCTTTTGTCTACAGACTTCCGTAAATCCAAGACGAGCCTTTCCAAATCAAAGGAGAAGGTGTCTGCGGAGGAGGAGAAGCTTCTGAGTAAGGAAGAGGAGGCGAAGGTCGTCACCCGGGTAGATATGGCCGACGCACGGTACGTCGTCGAGGATCACAGGAATGGAGACGCTAACATCGAACTGGACGCCAATAAGAGGGTAAGAAAATACTTTGTAATACAAATTTCCATTCCAGTTATTGTTTCATTATCTTGTATTTTTCTTGTTTATGTATTTCACGAAATATATAGTTCTATGCTAATATTATAAAGAGGAAAGATTTGTATTTTTGTATGTATTGAAATAAATCAAAAACTACTGGACTAATTCTGAAAAATTCTTGCACCTTTAAAAAGCTATGTTATCATTCAGTTTTATAGGCTATGTTTTATACTATTTTATTGAATGTCACGCAGATGAAGTCGCGAGCACAGCTAGTCTTACTTCTTACTAATATTATAAATGCGAAAGCTTACATGGATGGATGGAAGTTTGTTAGAGATTGTAGCCCAAACGGCTGAACGGATCTCGATGAAATTTGGCATAGATGTAGATGATAGTCTGGAAGAACACATGGGCTACTCACGTTTGTTTTTTTTTAAATCCACGAGGACGGAGTCGCGGGCGTAAGCTAGTATATTATAAAACCAATGAAATCTCCTTTAAGATTAGACGGTTCTACTATACCTATATTTACAGTATACTGAAACATTGTTTTTCTTGTAGCAATTCACGGGCCTGACAAAGGAGGAACTCATGAAGTACGCGGAGGACCCGTTCTGGGTGCGCTTGCGCTGGTTCATGTTCATCCTGTTCTGGTCGCTGTGGCTGTGCATGCTGGCGGCCGCCATCGCCATCATTGTGCGCGCGCCCAAGTGCACAGCGCCGCCTAAGATCTGGTCAGTATTCCCTTCTATCTCTCAGCTCAATCTGTCTCAACCCCCTTAACTTTTACTATTTTTTAGGTTCCTTAGGCTTTATATTTTCACGCTATTAAACTTAGGGGGCTAATAATAAATCTTTCATGTGGGAAAGGGACCATAAATTACAAGCTGACAACATTAAGGAAGCCCGGTTGCCATGGTAACGGTAATTGTTATCCAATGTCCAAGACCTTCGTTGTCATTTGTGCATTTGAATTTTGACATTTCACAAATGAAAACAATGAAATAAAGTTTTTATTTCATGCGGATAAAGCCGCACGGGGACAGCTCGTAAAATATAAAATACTACAGGTACGAAAAGGGACCACTAGTGGACATGTCCTCTGTGGAGAGCTTCGAGGAGTTGGAGACGGAACTGCCGCTGCTGAAGAGCAACCAGGTGGAAGGAATCTTCACGTACGTCTGCAGGGACACGTACGAAGTGCTAGAGGAACCCAGCTGCTTACAGAAGTTCAAGGACTTTGTCACCAAAGCGAAGAATTATGGTATCAAGTAAGTGAGGTTTTAATCAATTTTATTTTAAAAAGTTACTTTCCATGGGTTTATTACTTGTTAAAAACTGGTTATCTCTGTTTCTACCAAGTATATAGGATGATATGTTTTTTACATGTATATTGGCAATGGAAACTGGTAACAGAGATTTATATTAAAAGTACCAAGAGCTTTTAACTATTAAAATAGTATTTTTTATCCGACTGATGACCGGTTTCCCAGCTACTTTTAACCATTGGTTATTGTTTTTGGTTCGGTGACTTAATGAAATGCGTTTCCGAAGTACTTAACTTGAGTTTTATTCCTTTGAAACGTAACAACCTAACACTAATCAATCATTGGTTAATAATATGGAAACTTCAGAAACATTAGCATTACGACCTAGCATTGTTTAATTTGACTGTTTTTGTTCTCTTTGTATTTGATAAGTAGTGTCATTTTTTTTTCCCCCTGTTATATATGTTTTTGTGTCTTAATATATGTCTGTGTGTAGGGTGATAGTGGACCTAACAGCCAACTCTGTGAGTACGAACCACACGTGGTTCACTCGGAGTGAGAACCGCAGCGCGGGATACGAGCAGTACTTCGTGTGGGCGGACGGCGCGGGCTTCGGGGAGGATAACACGCCCAACCCTCCCAACAACTGGGTATATTTATATGCAAACTTTATGAACGCTCGGAATATTGATATCAGTATCAATTGATATTTAAAATATAGAAAATTGTACTTAGATTTACTAATTTTATACAATTAGCAAATATCTTCGAAAATATAATTTCAACATGATATCTAAACTAACTAACTAACTTTCGTCCCCGACTTCGTCTGTGGAGAATAAAAAAAAAGTAGTCTATACGGTTTTCCAGACTATCCTCTACATCTAAGCTACTATTCATCGATATCTGTTCAGCAGTTTAGGTTATACACTCTAACAAACATCCATCCATTCAAACTTTCACATTTATAATATGTATAAGATGAATTGTAGCTGCTTAAATATGAAGCGAGTTTATTTCTTTTAGATCAGTATATACAGGGTTATTGGTAATTCGACTTCCCGCTAAGAGGCGGTAGAGAAGTTTAGATGGATGGATGGTTCTTAGAGTTTGTAGCCTAAACAGCTGAATGATTTTCAATAAAATTTGGTATAGATATAGAAGATACTCTAGAAGAACACATACGTACTTTTTTTTTATTCCACGCGGACGGAGTCGCAGGCGAAAGCTAGTATGTGATAATTTTAACCCCATATTCAAACCAAAAATTAATAATTTTTGAGTTATTAAGTGTAAATTGCAATAGATTTAATGAATTGTACAGATATCGCTAGAAGACAGTCCGGCGTGGTCGTACAGCGCGCGGCGGCGGCAGTTCTCCCT